TGAATGGTACCTGTGAGAAAAGCAAATTCAATTGAAAAATGTGAACACGAAGCTTTGTCGAGCGAAAATTATAACAACCAAAATTTCAGTGGGGAGAAATGTACGTAGATAGGAATTGATGCTATGAATGCTACTCATTTCTAATTTTAGATTTATATTTAGTCCTTTTAGTCGCTTCAACGAGGAGTTGAAACCTTTCAAAAGTGATTTTGTGAGAAAAAATCAAATAAATGTCACTAGGAGTTTACGAATCTGCGCTCTGCTTTATTCTAGTGTGAATATAATTGCTGGCGTTCCTGCTACATGTTTTCGGAAGTCATACCTCATGCCTTAGCCCAATGCTAGTGGCCAAAAATCTACTTAGTCTACTTTCTGCGTCCTGGAGGGCACACAGAGCCTTAGGCCAAAAATCTGTCGTCTGCTACTAATGTCAAGCTCACGCCAACCCGTCTGGGTAGCCTTACGCTTTTCCATTGATCGTCTCTACTCTTTCACCTCACGGAACTGTGAAAAAACGCACTTTTCTGCTTGAACTATCTGTTCTGCGTATTAGCTCACCCTCATTCGTACTTGGAAATGACGAAGAAGGTTTTTAACAATTGAATTTTTCGTTACTACCCTGGTTTTACCTCACTGTGCTCAGCCAGTGTAAGATCGCTTTCATTCGAGTGCTCTCTATCCTTTCTCGCTTGATTAGCGTAGGCTTATGACAACGAGAGCAGGTGCTTCCCATCATTAATATGTAGTATGCTAAGTTTCTGCAGCTATACTTCCGATTTCTGATAGATTTCATGAAAAAATGAAGATCTTTGTTCTACATTCTTCAAGAAAAGGAAATTTTGGGCATTTCTTTCTGAAAATGTTAAGCTGCGCGCTCAATGTTTTTCCTTACTTTAGATAAAGTGTGTAAATTACTGTGTGTTTTCTTCATGATTTTCCTGACAGGAAGGGAATTATAATCATACAAAATTTGATTATCTTGATTTTTTTAAGCTCAGCCAAGGCGATATAAAAATATTAAAAATGCTACGCATGATAAGCATTTTTAATATAAAAAATTATTACTATTCTATTTTGGTATTTTAATATTTTCAATATCAAAAAATTATAATATTATTTTCATTATTTTAATATTTCATATCCGCTATTTTCAATATTTTGAATGTTTTTATACCACCTTGTATACTTGAATAAAATCAAACAGCATTCGCATATCATGCCAAGGTTACTTAACAGTCGGATTTTATCAGTTATCAAAAACTTGATTATTTGGTCAAAAATGCTGATTATACATTTAAGCTGGAAGGTTACCAATTTTTTGAGTATTTTTCTAACCTAGTGGTTGATACTTACTTTTTTACCATTTTTCTTCAAATTTTTACTATTAGTTGCACTTTCTTGGCCTAAGGTTGATTTGCACTATAACGCTCTTTTCGCTATTCTTTCTTCGTCATTTATTCAATAATTTGTCCTTATTTTACTTCTTTTAATTTCAATGTTATACCGTGAACGAGTTTCTTCGATTTGCGTCACTACTGTGATTATCTTCAAGTCTGTATTTTGGTTTTCTTTTCCGGTTTCTATCGTTCATGCCATATAAGCACTATTTGATTGCTTCTTGTTAATGTATCTTTCTTTCTTTTTTTGATTACTTCTCGATCTTTTGGCTTTATAAGGGTCTCAGGACTGCAAACATCGAGCTTATTTTACTCGAATAGGTCGTAATCAGCAATTTTTTTTCAATTTTCCTATCCGTCAATTTCTTGATTGAATAAATGGGTACCCCTAGAATTCTCTAGACCTATTAGCAATTTTAGAATTTGAAAAACACTACGTTAAATGAAAATTATTGCAAAATTAAAATTAGTCTCGCTACTTTTATAGGATTTAGGTAACACAATTTTGTTCGAAAGAAATTACGAAGTACAAGTGATATTAATATTATACTCTTATATCAAAGTAGTAGTTCAATATTCAGACTCCGCAGAAGTGCATCTTGACCAAATACATCTATCAAAAATTCATCAAATGCTCCTCGTCCTCTAAAAAATTCAAAATTTAACTATCTCAATTAGGCTCCCGGAGTGTACGTTTGCTATGCTCAACGTTTTTCTAGATATGTAGCCCATAGTAAGGATTTATGGCTGTTGTTTATCAAATGCGGAAAGCTCGCATAGCTGTGCAATCGATATAAACTCCGTCAATTACCTGATACCTTTGAAATTGGGTGGGCTGCTCAAAAGTGATTGAAAAACATATGCCAACTGCTTTGTGTTTTGCAAAGTTGTCCTTACTCGTGTTCTTTTGCTAGTCAATTTTCTGAGCAATTTTTCATGAACCTAATCAAAAAAGGGAAATTTTGCTTCAATAAAACTTGCCATCGTGCCGAATGTTGTTGACCGGTCACCTGGCACACGTTTTGTCTTTTCTTTGACTCCATAATTATCTGGTACCTTTACAGATACGAAGGAAATATCAATAATTATCATTGTCTTGGCTTAAGCAGTAATTTTTTGACATTTTTGCAAAATCACTCAAATTTCGCTTGTGCTCTGTTTCCTATTCTCCTTTGCTTGTTTTTTGAATTTCCGGTGAATTTCCTTTTTCCTGGAAGTTTCGAGCATTTCGTCTTGCAACAATGCACTTCAATTCTATTTCATAATCCAAATGCCGAAATGATGAATAATATGAAAATTTTGGGACTTTTTTCCTATATATTTAAGAGGCTGGATAATAGAGGAGTTCCACAGTCATTCATTGTTTGTCAACTGCATAGAAGTATTTCTGATGACTGGTTTATAACGTTTCTGTTATCAGATTCTTCAAATATCTATTGCAATTCGACTAGGCCTACGATGATAATTTCATGTAGTACATAAAACCATTCCTTTGGAGAAACGCTCATGAACTTTATACCAGGCTTGGTGAAGATAATACTCCACATAAACTAACAAGTCAAAATTTTGCGAAAGCCGTGCATCTCACCTCTGCTCTAGGAATTTTGTATCTCCCCTTCCCCTCTTTCCTACACATCTCTTGGAGGTTCTACCCCCTAATCATACCAAATGACCAAGTTGCCAATAACCTGAGTTGATATGCATTGTATGACCTCTGAAAATCCTCGAAAAATCGCCGCTCTTCTTCAAAGTCATTTTCCATTCTCTGAACTTAACGAACAGGTCGTAAAGTTGCGCTGAGGTTCCCTTTTGGCAGTCCTAAGCATCTTCCCGATGGGCAGATAGCAAAAATGTGTGATTTTTAGATAGAACACTTTGAGCACTAGAGCCTGAGATACTTGAACTCTTTCAAATTTGCTTGAGGAATAAAAGAGCTAGATGAAATAAAGGCATGACCGTTCCAACATTTGAAAATAATTGTTAGTTTATGCGGATTATTGAAACTTTGAACAATATTAGATAACGTTCATCAATCTAATGTCTTTATAAAAGATATTATAGGTATAATCATACTAAAATTAGCCGTTAAATTTATTAGAACTGTTGAATCAAAGTTATCATTGATTATTACATGACAACTATTATATTTTCATCATGAAACTCAGTGTTAGTCTAGTAGCACCGAATGATTAATCTGATAACAAAGCTCACTTTCCTTGGTTGAGTAATTTTCCGCAGTTGTCTAGTTGTTCTCGTCGTTAAGATTTATGCAGATAGGGGAAAACGTAATTTTACTTTCAAAAACCCTTGATTAAATACTAGGAAAAGTTAATAACGAGAACAGTAAATGTGTTACGTAATCAAGGTAATTGTAGTAGTTGAGCTTCTATCAAGTACATCAAATTACTGCAATTTCCTGCATTAATCCAGTAAAGCTCTATACATTCTTTGCATCCTTCACTTACATCCGTTTAGAGATATCAGGTCGAATTATTTGGAAAGTTCATAGCTTCGTACAATAAAGCAATGGCGCACCTTATCCTCCAAACATGGCGTTGAACTATCTCTATTCTATCTCTAGGTTAATCCTAATGTATTTAACCTTCTTGTAAATTTTCTTTGATGTAAACGCTAATCAGTCTTTGCGTCTGAACTAGAATTTTGTCTTCGTCCACGTCTAGATAGCTAATTAATCCTATTTGAGACAATTTTTCTGGCACGTGCTTTATTTGCATTTTCGTCATCATTCCTATATCGTAGAAAAAGCTAACGAGGTACGTAAATTACAGTTTCCTCTTCGCTAGAAGGGTTTCTTTATCCTTATGGTGTTTGGAATATTTCGAAATTTCACATGTTTTGTTGCCTTCCGTTCAATGCAAACGCTATTAGGATTTTCTCAAAGGCATCAACAAAATATTTAAGCGACGCTTTCCTTGCCTTATCTACTTATAGGGCCCTGATAAAGCCCAAATGCGAATCCCAAGATCACGGACTACCAAAATGCAGTTTTTCTTGGAAAATCTTGCCCTTTCATATTCGCTCACGTAAATTTCTTTCTAACATAAATCACATTAAGCGCCTTGGCCATGAAAGGTTTCTCGAATTTTTTTGGGGGGTTTTGACTGACAAGCTCCATTCGGAGTAAGCAATTTATTCTAAAATGAACGATTCCTTAGGAAAATCTGGAAATGTTTGACTCGCTTCCTTGGCTGATTTCTGCATAGCTGAACATTTTCCACAAAAGTGACAATAAGTAAATGATTCTGAAACTTCAAAGAAAAAATTCCAAAACGTGCAGAACGACGTAGCTCACGAAGTGAACAAGCGCTGCATCATCAGATCAGCTAGAAACTTTCTCATAAGATCAAAATGCAGAGATCTAGAATTTTTATTCCACGGCCGTTTCAATTTATCCTCTTCATATGTGGATTAAATAGCGCATAACGACATTCAAATCTAGTTTTTTCTTCCATCGAGAAGCCCTTTATCCATTTTCGTTCTCTATTACGCTGCTAAGCGTTGCCCTTACCTACTCCTCCCATTTCCAGATATTCCGAATGCAAACAATGCGGATAATTGATCGAAATATTTGAAAATTAAAAAATGACGGCAACATCTCCTTTGAATGTGTCTGCTATGCAGATTGTCCGTGAGTTTGTACTCTAACACTATCTGGGGGTTTCAAAAGATAATAGAGATTTTGCAGAAATTCACCACTATGCTGCTCATTCGAATTCTTCGGAACTGGATAAACTATTTCAAGATGATGCAGTTTGGATTATTACGAGCAGTTTCATCATTTTCACGATGCATTCAGGTTTGGAAATTCTTTGCAGGAAAATCTTTAAGCGTTCGAAATTGTGGTTTTGAAACACTGGGTACAGTTTTGGAAAAATTGGTGCTAAAACAGGAGATTATTGGGAACTTTTTTGAATAATCATGATTGACTATTCCTAGAAATTTCTGAAAGGGCTATAATGCGGTTTGCTTTTATAGCTCGTTATTTAATTATCTGAAGTCGGAACAAAAAAATCTTAGATTCACTGGAACTTTGACCATCTAGCCACATCGATGAACTGCAGTTTTTGAACAAAAATTGAAGACTATCAATTAGAAGCCGGGCAAAAAGTGGATGAGAAGCTCATCAAATGCACCTAAGATCACGCCATTTTTTTCTTAAAAGTCATTCGCTCGAAAAAAAGAGACTAACAATCAGACAAATCACATCTTTCGCTGAATACTATTTTACTTAGAAATTCCGAACTGGATGTGATTTTAGCACTTTTGCTACCACATTCTTTGGTCTTTTGTTTCTAGCGTATCCGCCTTTGGGGCGCAAAAAATTGAAAGTAGTTATTTTTTACATGTACGATGAATAATTAGCCTTTGTTTTTAGGATTTGGCCTACTAGAATCCGGAAGTGTGTCAGCGAAGGATGAGGTGAACATCATGGTCAAGAACGTTGTTGATGTGGTCTTCGGTGGTCTGTCCTACTGGAGCGTTGGCTATGGCTTGAGTTATGGGGATTACGAGCCGTTCAGGAACAGTTTTATTGGATTTGGACGGTTTTTCTATGATCCAACGAGGTAGGGACAGATCTTTAAACTATCGAGATAGCAAATTTTCGATTTAGGGAAGAATCCTCAGTGAACGAGGAAGGCTGGTCATATGCAGCTTTTCTCTTCCAACTCAGCTTAGCTACCACTGCTTCTACCATCGTGTCTGGTGAGCCTATCTAATCAAGGGTTTATTGGGTATTTCGCATAAAAAATAAGATTTCGTAAGCCTAGTATCGATTAGCCAGCCTTTCGGCAAATTGCTTCCATCCCCTCTCCTTCACTCATAATTGCAGCTAACAACTCTGTTTTTGAGTAAAAATTGCTTCCCAAGCACTTATTCTACAGCTCGTCTACTTTCATCAGGGGAAATCAACCATTTCAGTGCAAAATCAAACAGTGCTACATTCTCAAAAGTTGTTTTCAAAACTTTTTTATACAATCAACAGTGCATTTGCTCAAAATTGCGAGTAATTATCAAGAAATCACTCTTTTATTTTGAGCATGATTTGCAGTATGATCACGGTTTCGGAAAATAACTTTGTAAAAGTAGACTGGTGGGAAACGATAGTGTCTAGATTAGCCTCTCGGCTGACAATAAAACTTTTACTCCATCGAAATCGTTCAAAATGAGATTGAAACTGTCTCTTCGATATTCGACCTAATTTTTTTTTTGTTTAGGCGCAGTAGCGGAGCGAGCGAAATTGAAATCTTACATTTTACTTGGTTGCCTTGTTATTCTCATACAGGTTTGTTTATTTATTTTTCATTTATAGTTATGTACTTCAGTACTTTATAATTAATGAATTAGATGCTCTCTTCATTGAAAATTTTGAGGAGCAACTATTTCAGCTCCAACGTTTTCTATATTTCAGGCTTTACCTGCTCACTGGGTATGGGACAGCGAAGGTTTCTTCTACAAACTCGGCGTTGTCGACTTTGCCGGATGTTCCGCTGTGAGCTTTTTTCCTTCATTTTTAATTCCTTGTTTTTCTCTTTATTCTTTTGCTTATCATCACTTTTACTGAGATCCATAAAACGTCTGTATGATTTTCCACATTAAGGTCCACATGGTCGGTGGCATTATTGGTTTGATAGCTACTGTTTATCTCAAACCAAGGCGGAATCGCTTCAATGAGGATAGTGTCCACCAAATGAGCTCACCCACAAACGCACTGCTTGGTAGGTGTGCTCAATTATTGTTGAAGGTAAACGACCACAGTTGTTTAGGAACTTTTCTTCTGTGGTGGGGATGGTTCGGTATCAATGCGGGTTCCGTTTGGGGAATCACAAGCGGGAGATGGCGGCTCGGAGCAAGGTAAGAAAACATAACAGTATCAGAATTTAAAGACTCATATCTCTCAGATAAATCGCTATAACTCTATCGTATTTACATTTCCATAAAACTTATGGTTAAATCTCTAGACAGCCCGATTCACAGCTAACGAGAAAATGAGAATTTTCAAGCTTGAACAGATGCTAAGATTCCTGCCAGCATATCACTTTTGCAATAGCCATATACTTCCTACGTTAGCGCATATCTTTTTACCTAAAAAATCTCATGAACAAAGGCAAGTAATCTCGACACTATGTGCAATTAACGGACCCGGTAATTGTATTAAATTTTTCTTGCTTATGAGTAACATAAATGCTTGGGTATAGGTGTATTTCTTCGTTTTATGTCACTCATATGCAAGAAAAACCGGATACAATTTTCCCTGATAAATGCAGGTTGTCCCAAAAGTAGATACCCACTTTTATAGACAACCATCACGTTTCACTACTGTAGGATTACGGTGGGAAGTCTGAAGAGGGTTTTGAGTCATCAGTTACTACATTTTGCCCCGGAATAGATACTCAACAAGCTGAAGACTTTCCCATTAGCCTAAACTGAGTCGCTAAAAATGAATATGAAAGTTCCATATTTTTTTAAGACTTTTTTCATTTATGCTAGGGAAAGCGCAACAGCGTTTTATCGGTGTTTTTCAAGAATGTGATTAAATTATTTGAAATATATCAGAAGCTCGTGAAAAGTTGTCTAATGAAATTAGGATGTCCGAAAACACAGATACACAACTTTTTAGATTTTTTTCGAACTATTTTCGAACGGCCTATTTCACAATGGCGCTATACGCTGGAAGTTGCTACCGTAATCTTATAGTAATGAAGAGCGATGGATGTTTCGCTCCATACCTTAAATCTAAGTTGAAGCCTGCTCTACCGAACGTTGCTTGAAGCTAATCAAAAGCTTCGTGAAAGAATTATTAACGATCAAAAAGTTGTACTTGCTGTTGGGACACCCTGTATAATTGATCCTGATATACAGGGTGTCCGTAAACTATGTGTACACTAATTGATCGTTAATATCTTTCTTCCCAACAAGTCTTTTGCCTTGCTTCAGGTACCGTTTTGTAGAGCTGGCTTCAACTTAGATTTACAGTATGGAGCGAATCACCGAACGCTCTTCATTACTGTAGGATTACGGTAGAAACTTGAAACATGTGGTGTTAATGTGGAAAAAAGCTGCCGTCTCAAAATTTTTCAAAAAAATGTGATGACTTGTGTAATAGGGTTTTTATGGACGCTGAGTTCAATACTTAACTATTCACAAGGTTGAGAAGCTTTCTAAACGGTGTAAGCGCACTTTTTAGGAACATTGAAAAAATGGCCGCTACCTCTTACCCGGCATAACTCTTCAATAAAGCATCATAATAAGTTGGGAACTTTACGGTTATAATCAGCAACTCTAATTAGCCTAGTGTAAAATCTTTCAAGCTGTTTTGTTTCCTTTTTGAGGCAAAATATGGCCTTTCATGGCTCAAAAACCTCTTTGGAGTTTCTACCGTAATCCTACAGTAATGAAGGGAGAAGGGTGATTCGCTCTATACTGTAACTCTAAGTTGAAGCCAGCTCTACAAAACGGTACCTGAAGCAAGGCAAAAGACTCGTTGGGAAGAAAGATATCAACGATCAAACAGTCTACACATACTTTACGGACACCCTGTATATACCTGATAAATATAATTTTTCATTTACTCATGATCATGCCACAGACATCGAGTTAGTAATCAAAATGTTAATATTTCGAAAAAGTACTTTCACAAAAAGTAATGAATGTATTTTCTTGATAAGTGATTCTTGAATGCACGCATGATAAAGCTGAAAATATTGCGCAATTACTTTTCGAAGACGACAGAGCATCTCTACGCTCGAGGTAATCTTGTCAACTGAATTTGTCGTTTTACATAATTTGTTTAATAATATTCACTCAACGAAAATTTTTTTAGAGCAGCCGTTGCGACGATAATGAGCTCAATTGGTGGGGGTGCGACATCCATTGTTATAAGCTTTGTAAAAACGAAAAAACTGCAAGTTAATTTTCTTATAAACGGGATATTATCATCTATCGTGTCCATAACAGGTAAAAAAATCCTTTCCTTTTTTATACTTTAAATTAGGATGATTCAGCACTATGCGCTGTTTCACGACCGTGGCATGCACTCATCATTGGTGGAGTCTCGGCGGCCTTTTCTATATCGGTGCTACCGTTACTCGACCGGTTTCAAGTGGATGACCCTGTAGGGATTGTCCCAATTCATCTCACTTCTTCCATTTGGGGTATGGCTGCTGTTGGGATTTTCTGCGAGCAAGACCGATATTTGGTGAGTTTGTCTGGAAACTTGTTTGACGTATCTGAGAAGTAGGCGGTATTTTATAGTCATTATATCATTATGCATTTCCTGAGTTCACCCCAATTTTCATTCCTTACAGAGTAATTACACTTACTGTTATTTTTTAACTTCATTTTTTCACTTGATATTGAGTTGGTATGGCATTACATTATGCATGCTTTTCCTCCAACATAGCGCTCCTTTATAGGTGTTATGTTCTTTTTTCAGTAAAAGCTGTTGCAGACATAAGGAAACATTTCTGAAGTTCTTCGAGCGTACTTCCGGCTAAAAACTAGACTCATACCAAACTTTGTGTCTCCAACATCACAGGAAAGCAAAAAAAGTTTTACCATCCTTGTGAGCATTTATTCTGTCACCCACTGGCTAAAGTTCTGCACAATATTAATTTTACGAGGGGCCACATATGTCATAGTTTTTTGCGAGCATCAAAAAATGAATGAATTTTGGAAAGACAAATTTATCTATAACCTTTAAAGATCTAATTTGGGAAATCGCATTTTTTTGAATATTCTCAGCTACCACTCTAAGTAAATCTATTACAATTAAATAAAATTGCATAATTGTAAAGTTTCATCTAAATATTTTGGAAGCGGACGAAGCTTGAAAAACTGCGCAGGTTCAAACAACCACTTGTTTTTCTTCAAAAATTTAGTTTTCTGCATATTTGTTAGTCACTCGAACAAAGGCGGTGTTTTTTCCAAGAAAAAAGACTACAATTTTTACGGGTTTACCGAAAAAATGTAAAAAATTTTCTCGTAGTTTTAGCTCCATATGGCTGTTTCACACGCGAAAGCCTATATAGGAAGTATAAACAAGTGACGAAAAGCCAACAAGATCACTCAATATTACTAACAGGGAACCCATAAAATTTCTGATTTGAAATAATTAAAGGTTTGAGCGATCTTCTTTTTCAGCTTTTCTCCGCATTCAACGTCTAATAAAGCGTATCTTTGATTGTTATTGCCACACAGAGTCATCTAGATTAAAAGAGGTTATGATTTTTAAGATATGGTGCGAACGTAAATATTGTCCGCAGTAGTATGAATTTGTAAGGAAATAATACAAATAGATGAAATATGAAACAACATATAAAACTGTCAACACTTACTGTATCTTGATAAGCACATTTGACAAGGATGTAATTGAGTATAAATAATAATGCTGACCATAAAGAAGGTTTCCTGCAGGTATTTTTTCGCCTCTGCAAGTCGAAGTCCTAAATCACTTCCCAATATAATTTCTTCATGAATTAGGTTCACTACACCTACTCAATGAAATCGTATATACCTTGATTTTTATGCTGTTTTTTTGTTTGTCATTCGTAAACTTTCTACCGTAAATCAGTCATGCATTCTCAGGCAGGAGCTACCAACGGTCTAGCTGGGGTACTGTACTCAGGAAAGTTCACTTTACTTGGAGTACAGCTGTTGTGTACATTAACAATACTGGTCTACAGTGCAACTTGCGGTTTACTTGCCCTCTTCGTAAGATTTTGGTTCAATTCACAGGGAATGTCACTACTTTAGGAATATTTTTTCAGTTGATTAGCAAGAGTCCGCTTGGTTTGAGAGTTACCGACTATGAAGAACAGATAGGAGCAGATGTGATAGAACATGGTTTGGCTGGAACAAATGTGGCTAGATACGTGCTTGAAAAGCCATTGAGCACTAGGTCAGTGAAATATAACATTCAAATAAATTTAGAATGTTAGGCTGCGTCCAGAGTCACCCGTGCCAGCCCCGCGCCAGCGCCGTACTGGCTCCGTTTCGGCCCAAAAACACGCCCCCTCTTGGTCAATATAAGTCTAAGCAATGCTTGAGCATGCGCTGGCACGGTCCTGGCACGGCACTGGCACGGGCGACTCTGAATCCAATAATGGAGGAATAATTTTTTAAACTTAAAGAATCATCGTAAGCAGTCCACCATTGCATGGAAACCATTTAGAACATTCCAAACAGTCACAAAAGCGATAACGAAGTGGAAAATGATGGCCAAAGCAAAGAGTCGCTCAAAACGCATGGAACAAATGCGGCAAAAACGGCTCGACGAAGAAAAAGCTCTCACAACTGGTACTTCCCCAAATGGAGCTAACGGAGGTACGCAAGTTTCTAATTTCACCTTTCCACCTTTATAAAAAGTTTCTTTTAGATGTAGTCCAAAGCAATGGTACTGTACTACAACAACGTAAGGCCTCGATAGTATCGCAAGCTTTGAGTGCTCTCTCATCTCCACGAAGAGCTGTGGCCGATTTTCCTGAAGTTCCTGATGTTCCCGAATTGGAGGGACAAGCTTACGAAGGTCGTGTTTCGTCTAGAAGGTAAGAATTTGCTGATAGTAAGAGATTGAGCATGAGGCTTCGTTTAGAGATGCCGCTTCGTTCCAGCGCCGTTGTGGCGGCTCGATGGGCCCTAAGCACATAGATTTACCCGAAATACCTGTGCTTTCGCCCGCTTATGACATAAGACGCAACCTAGCCTACTGCTTTGCCCTAGCGCGGTGATAATCACTGATTAAATTACTAACAATTTATCTTAATGACATAAATAAGCAAGAAAACGACGGTGCCATAGCTAAACTGCTAAAGTGAAAAAAAAACCAACACGGGAGAGGGTGCCCGTCCCGTGCTACCTATGGTGCGCGTTCATACAACTTTCAAATATGATGGTGCTCCCGAGGCTTCACCTATACAGATCCGCTACGCATCACCGTATGACAGGCGCGACAACCTTTCCGCTCCCAAAATTTATTCTCATTATTCTAAATCTCAAAAGTTCAAGTGGCTCGTCCGAAACAATCCCAAATTCGACTTGAATCCCAATCCGCTATGAATTCCGACACGCTCAACCGCTACTGCGAAAGTGACATCAAAAGGCGGGAGCTAAACTGCCAGGCACGAGCACAACAGTAAGTAGAGAAAAGATTATCGATCGAAAATGAGAGCGAACAGACGCTGCAATGAGGCGCCGCCGCTATATAGCCTTTTGACTGGCAACGCACCAAGGCAAGGAGAGGTCCGGAGTGAGAAACCGTAATCGTCGCCAGATAGCGCGGCAGCAACCACTCAGATAATCGCCGGGGGCAGGCTGCCATGCAAATTTTGAGCATGCGGGCACCGAAAAAATTGTTCGCTGATTTCTTGCGATCCGCTTGCAGAAGGAATAATTTTGGCCATTAGACGAACGCTCGGAGAACTACCGCGGTTTTTCTATGAATAAGTCCTTGCATATTCTCGCGGACTTTCCGCGAGAGTATGCAAGGATATTGGGGGCCGCATGGTCCTTTGTGAAGGATCGCACAGCCTGTGGGTACCTTCCGCTAGAAGATACCTCAAACTTGAGTAATTGAACCACCGATGACACCTTTGCCACATAAGTCTCATCTTTACTCGGCGTATGCCCGAAACTGCGTTGAAAGAGTCCTAGCGCCTGCTGAAAGTTTGGTCAGCGCTTGCTGAAAGAAATTATTTGCCGAGCGCTTGCAGAAAATGCTGTATTGCTGCCCGCTGGAAGAAAATGCAACCGTAAAGGAAGTGCCGCCCGCTGAAGGTTTGGCACGCTCCAAAATTCTGCTGACCTTACAGAAAAGCGCGAGTTGGCGGACCGCCTCCCCAGCGATTATCTGAGCAGTGCTCCCGGCCTCTTAATTCTAGTAGCGCTCGCGTTGCGGGGCTGCGAGAGCCGTGCTACCGTGCCCGCAACTCGATCGATTGATTTTCGTTGTGTCCCCTGGGCGGGCATGGTGCTGGCACGGCGGCCACAAGGACGGCTCCGAGTGCATCCTGGAAAGATGCAGAACTTTAGAATAAAGCAATGAAGTCGTTTGAAAATTTCTTTTTAGGTCGACAATCTCAGCTCATGCAGGCTCGTCTAATACAGGGAAAACAGAGAGCAAAATTGATGAAACCCGCAGCGAAACACAAAGCGGCCAATCTCCAGAAGACGTTAAGAGCTCTACTCCATCGGCTTCTACTCCTCCTGTGACTAGCGGCAACATTACAGTAAACGTCAATCCGGCCGGGTATGTCGAGAAATTCTGGTCTTAGTTACATATAAGCTGAGTTTCTAGTTCCTCAAAACCGACGACAGTCGGCAAATTTGTGCGATCCCCTTTGGCACGGCCACTCACTCCTCCAGACGACATCAGCATGGATGCCGCATCCATCTCCGCTCCCGCAACAGGAGGTCGCGGCAACAAAGTTGCTCCAGAATAATCCATATTGTTTTGAATTTAATAGGGGTACAGTTTTACGCGCAAATGTTGTCATCGATGCAGCGGGACTATATCATGATCTCCACTAGACCTTCGATCTCAACATTCCAACCATAAGTAAGCTTCACGCAGCTTCATTTGAAACATGTTGTTTTTTACAAACCAATTAATATGGGTGTTTTGATGTGCCTTCATAAAAGACAGCATTGTTGTTATATATTTACGTCTCTAATGCGATGTTAGTTGTTAATTTCTTCGCAGAAGCAACCGGAATTGCATCTTGCAAACCAAAAATTGCTATTTGTTTACTATTTGTTTCAATAAAATAACTTCTATATTAGTGAACGTCCGCGAATGGTATCGATCTAACAGGGTGTCCTTTCAAATTATGAGGACAGTCATTTATTACAGCCTTCTAAGACATCACATAGAGTGAACATCTAGCAGAGTTATTCGAATGAGTGGTCTACGTAACCCCGCTGAATGTCGTTTGTTCGATCATACCGATTCCCTAGAATGAGCTGGGTCTAAAACTGCGCTTTCCAGCTTCTGAAGATGTTAATAACTCGCTTTTGTTCACGGAAAGCTGTCTGGGTGGAAAGTGAAAGCCAGCTTCTTTGTAGAACGATTGGCTGCTGGAGCCAACAATCCACTGGCCGCGGAAATGGGTGGCATGTCTCCACTTATCCGGACTCCACGTGCCAATCGCTCTCTAAAGGACGGGCTTTCGCTTTCCGCCTAAAAGCAATTTCCACTTCCGAGAAAGCGAGTTATAGACTTTTTCAACCCAGAACAGGCGAAACTCCAAGTGGAGTAACGCGTCCGCGCCGCCACTGGCTTAACGAGTAGATTAGAACGAAGAGACGTAGACTGCAAAAGCAGCGCAAATAGTTGCAAAGCGGGCTCCCGCCAATCCAATTTTCGCCTAAACTAAGTTGAAACTTACTATATATCTTCAGAAACTCAGCCAATCCAGGTAAATCGAGAACGGTAAGTATTTCAAAGTCGGCGATATGCCGAGACACTATCTTTGAAAATGTGTATTTTACCGTCCCATCATGGTTTTGGGTGGTAAGTGGCTAATTCACCAGCGGCAACAATTCGAAGCTTCACAAACTCCTTGTCTGCTTACCATCATGTGGATTTCAACTCTTGTTCTCGAGGGTTGTCACACCTTCTGAAGATACAACGAGTATGTAGCCCGCGTACTGGACATGAAGTGGAAGAGGGCAGAATCACGCGACACGGAAGGATCTAAGCTCCTAACTTGCAGCAGCAGAAGTGGTGGGCTTCAGCCGGACCAAAATTGATAACAACTTTATTTGGCTAACGTTTTCGGCTTGTTCGCCTTCGTCAGGGTCTGGAGGTGAGGAAGACTCGAGATTTGGCTTTCTAAACGTTCTATCACAGCAGATTAAACAATAAGCTGGTGCCGAACCGGAACAGCTCCCTTATGAACATTATATTGGTGGCTTGTACACACCACTTATGGATGATTCCATAATTATTACTGAGTCAAGCTCAAAAGTAGATTTTTTGACAGCAAATCAGAGGAAAGATTGTTGTTGCAAAAGGTAAGAGTCAGCATGCAAGTTTGCAAGAAAACGATTTACCTTTCTTTGAACGATGACCACTTTGAAGTCAAAATTGATAGGACGTGAGCGTGTAGAGCTTTACGACTTGTAAGAGTGATCCCTTAGTGAGCCCCATTATTCCAAGACGCCTGAAGCGAGCCTTAAAGGCAGCGGCTCGGCAGAATAGACCTACATTAGACCTACACCTACACAGATGGATAGGAGGCCCTCCAAGTGAACCAAAAGAGCAACTCCGGGCCGAAAATGTGAATTCTGCAAGCCAGGGGGCGGCCCAAGCGTCGCTCCCCTTCCTCCTTTCGCTCCCCTAACACCTTGTTCGGACGAGTACTCTCCGCTAGACGGCGCGGGACCCCCCAACCGCCTTCCCGCATTGTGCATGCTATACAAAGCCAAAATTACAGGCAGCAGGGTCTTCGTGCCAGGGCCTCCCGACTCTCCTTTGGAAAATTCTCGTCCGAGCTGCCTTTTGGAAATTGAAAAAAAACGCCCCGAAAAAGGCTTTACACCCCTTTTAAAGCTCAGATTCGGGGTCTACGGGTCGAGAAGGCCCAAAGCATGCAAAAATATGGAAGTGCAAAATCTGCCGAGTCGCTGCCTTTAAGGACCTTATGTCCAAAACAGCAACGTGCCATCAATCTATTAGGCTGTGTAATGAGTTCTGTCCGATTTTTTCTTTCGATTTTTTCTCAATATTTTGCGCAATGTTATATAAATTGTCTACACACATTTGAAAGCTCTAAGCCTTCTCTACAAAAACTTTCATATCGATTTACTACATCAAATGACTTGAAAAAGTTTTACAGCGTTGAATTTGGAAAAACAAGGAAAAAGTCCATTTTCGACAACTGCGTTACGTCGCCTTCCTAATTAGTCAGAATGCCTACGAATAAGCTTGAAGAATTTGCTACACGTAAGAAAAGAATGCTCTAACTTCTATTGCGCTTCAGGAGTGCTTAAGCTCTTTAAAAATCATTTCTGTAGGCTTTAGAGAAGTCCTCTTTCTGACGCCTTTTCAACGTTGGTGTTGGGCATCATCTAAGGGCATCCTGGGAAAAGACGGTAGGCGGATCATCCAGAAGAGACAGAAGGGATGGTTTGTGGGTCTAAAATTATCGAATTCGTAGGTTAAATACTCAAAATTCGAATTTTGGGAGCCAAACAGCTTGGGTACGCGAGACGGCGAACATCGCCGTGACATAGTCTTGCCCTGCCAACTTTCAAAAAAATGTCATTAAATAGCTGGTGGGAGGAAGAAAACATGTGCGAACAGTGATAAATTATGGTTAAAAGCCTAATAGATTGTTTTCGTTGTTGTCAAGCTTGTTTAATAAGTTTATCAATAAAAATCAAGAAAAATTTGAACGAAAAAAAGATGTCGAAAATTGATTTTTCGGTTCTTTGGATTTTTGTTTCAATGATAAAAATCTTTTTCATTTTCCTGCTATTTTAGGGAATGGCATATGAGCCTGCAGAGCAGATCTGGAGCTTTCAAAAGCATATACAGTTCGTCTCAAATATAGTCAATGTTGTCAAAAAAAATTAAAACAAAAAATAGGACAGAACTTATTACACGACCTAATAGATGCGGATAGTTCTATAACGTGCGTGTTCCGAACAAAGGGCTTCGTTTTTTTGTACAGGTTTGGTCAGGTGGATAACTAGCACGGTCATTGTTCAAGATCAGCTAGCGGCGACTGCTACACGACCTGCCAATTGCCCACCATGAAATCGATCATAATCGCTATAAGAGATTTCGTCAAGCAACGAAGAGATAAAACAGAAGGAACGACTACAATAGCTCAACACGAATTTTTGTATAAAAATCCAAATGCGAAAACCTCGCAAAAGTGTGTGGTTTTGCACACTACTGTCCTAGTATTATGTTACCTTACCTGTCGTGTAAGTCACTAGACACTAACGGTTTTTTTCTATATCTCTGCTTTACACACTATCTACGAAACCTGCCCTTCCTACCCATCCTTATCTTTCGGCACAAAGGCAAAGCCGCCGCGGCAGTTGATTCGAAGGTCAACTGCCAGACAGAAAGATCGGAGTTCGTAATTTCAACTGACGAAAAACTAAGGGTCCAGTTCATTTTGCCTGATCATCTAGGGGTTTACTACGGGCCTGCATGAGCACTCAGTTTATCTGAGAAGCCCTATTTGTATTTACAACTGGTTTTTTGAAAAAGTAAAAGCTTGTTGCTTGAAAGTTCCTTTTAAGAACGGTGAATGAAGACATCGCCGCTGGTATACACGGCAAGTATTCATGGCCTGCTCATAAATTTTGATGGTGGAATCACACTGGAAACTTAGAAAAGAACGAGTTCGTGTGATTTATGTTCCATGCAGTTTTATGCAGCCATCTGGTATTGTTTAATGCACGTTTATTTACTAAATCATGATTTAGCAAATTTATTGAAGAATTCATTCAAACTTTCATCATGCCGGCAACCACCCACGATTCGATGTTGCATTCATTGGCCCCACGGAGAATTTTGAAGAATCCTGAACAGAATATTGAAGTCCTAGATATTTATCACGACTATTAGACAATCGTGTTGAACATACCATTCTCTCCCCAGTCATAATTCCAAGAATTCGAAACAATCCAGTATTTAACGCCATTTTCTACTCCCCATCCGACAATCTTGACAGCATGAGCTCCACAGAATGATTTTCCTTTGTTCTAAATTGAGAAATTTCCTTATGTCGTGAATTTGTGGTGGTTTTTGAAGTTTGTGATACATTTCTTGTCAGAACGCGGGTGTATGAGATAAGAATGTATAGGCTGTACCAGCCAGCATCGGTCATGCGACGTCGCGCCGGCAACCTGCGACGATGCGGTATGACGCGTGCGAACTCTGCTACGCGTTAAGGCACGTCGCGTGCGACGGTGCGTCGTCGCAAGTCATACTGACGCGGGACCGATACTGGCTGATACAGCCTATATTAAGTCGTTCCGACGCTTTTTTTGAACAGCTGCCACAGTTCGCAGAGCAAACATGTGTAGAAGATACATGTACCATTCAATGCACCTTTTCATTCTCTATCAAAAGGACATGCTCTCATTGCAGTACAAAGAAGGAACTCCTGTGCAACTGTAAGCTTCAACTTGGTTTAGGCGGAACTTGGACTGGCGAGAGTCCGCTCCGGAACGATTCACGCCGTTTTGCAGTCGTCTCCTCACTCTAAGGGTGCCTTCATACCGCTCCAGCAGCCGCCAGCAGCCCGTAGCAGCCCGTAGCAGCCCGTAGCAGCCCGTAGCAGCCGCCAGCAGCCGCCAGCAACCCGTAGCCGCCCCTGGCCGCTTTTGTCATAGTAGCGCAAGATCATCAGAATACTACTTTGAGTGCCTTTCACCTTCCTTGCTTTTTCCTCTGTGCCAGTGGATAGTTTGATCTCTCACATCATATTTGTGTCCATTTCATTACCTTGTCGCCCACAGTTCGCTGAACTTTCTTTCCTGGGTGATATCCTCGAATCTGGATGCGTGCAGTTCCTCCAGATGTGCAATTTGTTTTTGAGTAGATTTTGCCTCAATCTTCTTCTTGGCTGTCGGTGCATATCTGAATTGCATTCTACTATTTCGCAACTCGCCGATTGATTCGCGTTATGGGTTTCCCTGACTTTGACAATGGCTCAAACGTTTTACACAAGACGGATTGCAAAACTGAAATGTGGGCACAAATAGGATGCAATGTACGGCAACAGAACAATGAACACAAATATAATATGTGTTTTTTTTATTTCCGAACTACACACTGGTGGCAATAGAAGAAAAAGCTTGGAAGATGAAAAACGTAGGCAGGAGCATTCAAAGTAGTAAGATTCTGATGTTTTTGCACTATTATAACAAAAGCGGCCAGCGGCAGCTACGGGCTGCTACGGGCCGCTGGCGGCTGCTGGCGGCTGCTACGGGCTGCTGGTGGCTGCTGCGGGCTGCTACGGGCTTCTAGCGGCGGCTGCGGGCGCGGTATGAAGGCACCCTAATCTATCTCGCTGAGCCAGTGGCGGTGCGGACGCGTTGCTCCCACTTGGAATGTTCGCCTACTCCGGGTTGAAAAAGACTGTATTTCAGACACCAACGCATCAAACACACAAGTTTTCGGAACTCCTGCAATTTTCAAGAGCGGACTTTAGTTGAACATTAGTTTTTCGATGCAAATAAGCGTTCATAGATTGACATATCAAACCTTGAATTTTCCGAGTAGAGCGTGGAACGCGCTCAGAAACAAGGACAGGGATGATTTTTCCATTAAGTACTTTACAAATAGGGAACAAAAGACTCCTTTTAGAAAGAGGTGGAAAAGCTGCGCCGAATGACACCCGAGTTGCTCGTCGATTGTTGTTCCATGAGCTTTGAAATAACCTAATACGAAATACAGTAGCTTCAAAAAAATTATTTTTAAGATTTTCAAATGCAAGCTATGGAAAAGAAGAAAATTGCGAAGAAAATTGCATGTGTTCTAGAGGGCTTGCTCTTTCTATCCCTTACTTGGATATATTTAAAGCGTTGGTGTAAGAAGTATTAAAACTTAGAAGCGAAACTTGACATTGGCAAAAAGCATAGGTTTCGGATTGATGGAGTGATTTTCTAAGAGTCCTTTGATTGTACTGCGATGAAGGCATAACTATGGGGTAGACAATGGAAAGATACATCGAATGGTACCAAAACCTTCTATAGATATTTGATTTGCGAAATGTGGCGACGACCTAATAAAATGGATGTGACGTGCAATGCAATTGACATCTCTTAGGGTTCATAGATCTTCCTTCTGGACAGTTTTTGTCAATATTTCCGTACATAATTTTGAACTTGACATCCGTTTAGCAGTTTTACGTAACGCTGTCAAGTCGCAAAATTTGCTTTGACATCTTCTAGGATTGTGCATATAGCTGCGAACTGCACAAAATAATTTTTTTCAGTTCAAGAATTCAAAAATTCCGATTGCGAAGTATCTTTTGCACAACGTTCCTTTCGAACGTCAAAAGCCGGAAAGCAAATTTTTCTATTGTGGTTTTAACTACTGTCTTGTGACATAACGTGCGCACAAAATGTCGAGCATTGAAGGCAGTGTCTCGGCAAAATTTCGCTCTTTCTTCGTTTTTCGCTTCTTGTGAGTCTTCTCGCTATGCTCAACCCATATCTGGGCTTTGCAGTATGGTAAAAATGAGTTTTTCGAAGTCTCCGGATCCGCATTTGCTGGAAAACGCGCATAAATATGCTGGTCAGAGACGAGGCGGCAGTTTTCGCAAGACTTTCGGAGGTGGATTTTAGGCTTTCAAACGCACTTTTTTCGCAGCAGAATTCACGAACAAATCAGAATATGGGTCTTCCATCGCAACGCTGTAACTCAGTATCCACAAAGGTTAGGTTCACGGTATAACGTCGAAAAATTTTGGATTGCGTCAGATTTTGCTGAAACCTGGCCTATGGGGGTTATGCAACGTGCTGATCACAAAACTGAGACTCGTTTTGCATGAAAAGGCTTCTTTCTTGAGGTCAAAAAATGATTTCATCTTAGGGTCCTTTCATACTACGCCGCGCACGCCGCGTACGCTGCATGCGCGGCGTAGTATGAAGGAACCCTTAGCGACAATGAATATGATACTCGTGTTCAAGTATTGGGTTACCCTACTGTGCAAAGTTTTAGCGGATTCTGAGGTGTCGCAGCTTGATTATTAACAAATTTCCGTTCAAATTTCACGCAAATGACTTGTTTCACTTCTCAAAGGTGTCTTATCTTGATTTGTCCTAAAATTTCACCCCCTTTTTTTTACTGATTCTAAGGTGTCAACTTCTAGCTATATGCTTCCTATAATATCTTTTTTATCTGTTTGATTCAGGTTTTTTAAGGCTTCGTGTTTGCCAGAAACCGTAAAACTTCGATTTCCAAGGGTTTTCGAAAAATGTTTAGATCTTTTTTATTATGTTATCAAAAATCAAATTGAGCAGGCTTGCAGCTTACATCACAGTCTATGCGATGCCAGAGAATAAAAGTGCTACATTTGATAAGAAAAAAGTTATGGGAAAAGTTGCAAAACTTGTGTGCCAACCTAATATTACTAGTCGTGTCAAAATTACGTACCACATAGACTCCGCTCTTGTAGTAGTAAAAATCTGAATAAACCCTCATTCCGGTCTGAACAGGTCCATTAACCATGATCTCCTTTTGTATCGCTTCTTCGGTTGCGTTGACGTTATAGGCGCTCAATGCTCGAGTGTGTACATATTGAGTGGAATACAGCGATAATTTTTCATATAATCTTACCATACATTTTGTCCACAATGTACCGTTTGTAATAGCTACCCTGGCATTTGTCGACGCAATTTGGTGTTACTTGCTGAACGCCATAGCATTCGCCGTAATACGGTTGGCCTTTATGCTTACCACACGGATGGAATGGGTATGGTTTGCAGCAATTCTGGAACGATTAGGAGTGTATGAGGCTAGGAGGTGAACATGGAGTGCTATTTACCCTAGTGTTGTAGGGACCTCCAGAACAAGACCCTTCGTTTATTACATACTCCCAAGCGCGTATCAGTTTTCCTCCATTACATCTAAAAACTATTTAATAAATTTTACGGAAGACAGCTTGAATGTTTTTCACTGAGTAAATGACGGCTTGCATGATTTCCACAAAGTTTGTGAGCTTTATGTTTGTGCATCACAAGATTCGCGTGTTTGCTATTGCATTATAAACGCTTCATACTAACAATGTCTCAAAAGAGGGACAATGTTGATTAACAAGGAATTTTTCATAGGGAGATGTAATCACGATGCAATCAAAGCAAACCAACTATCAACACAATTTGGCGGACTGTTTATTGAATCGGTTTCAAAAGCTCATGCATCCTACCATAGCAAACGAAATTTCAAAGCAGCTTTTTTCTCTTCTTTTCATAGTCATGTTTTCAAACCTATGCTGATGATCACAATCAAGCAAATATCTCATTTAGCCCAATTTACAGGACGGTAAATATGGGCGTTACAACATGTAATATATCTTTTCCTGGAAAATTCTGTCATGGTGGCTAATATGCCTGTAGCTTATAGACAGTCTCCATATTGAGATAAGTGAAAATCAAGCAAGCTGAAGTTTTCTGATGCAAACGTGACTCAGAGTCTGCTTCCTGCGGCGCGTTCAGTCAACACCATATTTGTAGTACCGTATTTTATTTTGAAGAAAAAAATTAGTTGCTAGTAGGGTTTATTTCTCTACAAAACTACAGATCTTAGATTAGATGGCTTGATTGTGATCATCAGCATAGGTCTGAAAACATGACTGCCTAATTTTCGATCGGTTATTGTATTATTTCGACGCATTCGCAATGGGTACATTCTTCCAATAGCATTTTTTGACGCATCAACTTCAAGATAAGCTGCTGAAGTCGTATGCATGTGCAAGAACCCAGTCTTGCAGGAGTAACACACTAAGATGCCTTTGTTTTCGGCATGCAAAAATATTAGAGAATTCTGCTTTCCATGAAAAATCATTAAACGAAGAATGTGACACCCATACTTTTCGGCTTGTAGATCACTTCATTTCAGGAGCATTAGATGACATTTGCTTTGAAAATTTTGCAGTGCATAGCTTCTTTCACAATCGCGACTTTCTCTTGAGCTCTACATAACCTTTGCTTCAACTGGCTTGGCTGCTGAAAGGCGGAGCTTTGTGATCTAATTAAGGCCGCTAATGTCCGCCACGGCTCTGCGTCTCTCCCGCGCGCATGTTCTCGGATCATTACCAAAGCCTAATTAGGTCACACCCCGCCTTCCAGCAGCCAAGTCAGTTGAATCGCAGGGTAGTTAAAAAAGAATAAATTGTCGTATCGCCTTACCGATGCTTCCAACAATTAACAGTTCGAAAACAGACGCAGTCAAGCTTACCCGTGACCGCAGAAATCTCCGCAGCATGCAAGAATATCAGAGTCGGATATAATGGCCTGCAAAACAGATTGTCATCCTCGCTTGTTTCATTTGGCATTATAGCACCTTTTTCTTTCCATGTGATTGAACGCACAATCTATCAGACATAGCGGAAGCTGCAGATACAGCCCAGCACGATCCTAAACTTCGAATTCGGTAAGTATTTTTTCCTCATATGCACACGATCTCACCACAATTAGCTTGATCTCGAACTAGCTTGATGGAGTCGCACTCTGGCCACTTTTCTCGAGCGTCAAAACTGCATGAACAGTCGGTGTCAAAAACTTTAAAAACACTTTTAGATACAAGAGAGAAGGGCAGGTTACCTTTCTGGTATAGGTTCATTGATGACAAGCTCATTGGCTGGCTTCGCATTTACAGTCTCTTCCAGGTATTTAGGATCCATCAAGCGGGATTGAAATTCTTTAAAAGACATTTTTGGAACTTCCGCCTAAAATAAGCAATATACTATGTGAGCAGCAAAGCAGGTCAAACATAATGAGATAACACAATCCATTGGTCATTTGGGTTGCGCGTGGGAGTAGTGAAGTAACTTTTATATTGGCAGCTACCTTGTAAAATGGCTGATTTTTGTTGATAAAGTCAACAAAAGCTTGTCCCTCCAATTTGTCCACATTTCCAGGAGAAACTTTGAACTCTTCTGAAATATTTGAGAAATTGAGAACAAAATAAAATGAATAAATGCATAGAACAAGTATCCTCTACTGATGTCAGGTGCCAGTTATACTCTCGTCCAGAAAGCAGTCTTCGGATTTTATATTTTAAAACTATTTTATATTTTGAAACTGTTTTTGTAGTGATTACTTTTGCTATGCCGTATACAGGTTGTTAATGGTAATACAACTTTGTTGCCTGGCGTTTCGGCAGGACGCCGTGTTGTCCATGCCAAGAGAAACCATGTCTAGGTTCAAAAATAAGAGGACTTACAAGATGTTTTTGTACCTACCTATGGTAGTGCTGTAAACCGTTATACATAATGCTGCAAGCACTAGAATTGTGGCCATTCTGAAGAAGATTACCTTCAAGAATGCGATGATATATTGAGAAAAATATTCAAGACATATCCCAAAAGATTATGGGAAATTTAAGTGAGCTGCACGCTTCAAGCAACCATGATTCAAAACTACGGCGATGTTGTGCTATGAGTACTTTTTATATGTTTTGTGTCCAGCCGCATTTTATAGCTATTGTGATAAAAAGATTATCTTTTTACTTACGCTGTCAAAGTACTTCTTGGTTAGAGATTTTGTTACCTAAGAATTCTAAACAGTCTGCAGTTCAGTTCACTTGCGTTATCAGAGTTCGTCTGCGAAAAAATCACGCAGACTTGCGTTTCTCTAAAAACGGAAATGAAGCAAGAGGAGGAGCCAACAGGCTTTTACTGAAATACCATATAATTATATTAAGGAATGCTGGAAATTACTTTCGAATACCAAACTAATACAAGGCGGTTCGATGCAAGATCAAGCAAGAAACTGTTTTAACAAGCTCTGGTCTAGCGATGCCTACATCGTGGTAGCTCTGCGCTGATCTGTTCTTCATGTCTACTCAAGACAACAACTTTTTCAGACGAAGCTTTGCTTTCCGGGTTAAATGAGTTTCAGATCCTCTCTTTAACGCTCAAAAACCCTGCTAAACAGTTTCCTTCAAATTTTCAAAAAAATTGTCAGGTTCTCTCTTTCACAATGGTTCTGTATGCTGAAATTTCATTGATCCTACAGTAATGAAGAGAGATCGGAGATTGGCTTTATACTGTTAATTAAGGAAAGCTCTACAGAATGGTCAAAAATTGGTCAACGTCGAAAAAAGCAGTTACTAATGATCAAAAAGTGTGCACATTTTTTGGGACACCCTGAATTAGGCCGTTCCAATAGCGGTTTCCCTTTTTTTTTCAAATGACACATTTCGTGGAACAAAGATTTTTAAGAGATTCTGACAGCATCTGAGACAGCATTTCATTCCCTTTCTAATAAATTCATTGTAGCACAGTCAATGAGCTCTTAAAGAATTACCAAAATCTGTGACTTGTGCATTGAGGTGGTTTTCACAACTTTCTAAATTTTTTATATCAATCCTCAAAAGAAGTCCGAGTAACGTGTAAATAGGGCAAACCCTATAGAATACAAAACAATTTTCCTCTCCTTTTCGTAACTCGTCACAAGGTTTTAATTGATGGAGGTCAGAAAAGTTATGATACTGGCCATTTGGACCTTATTGCACAGGCGTCTTTAGAAAGTGCATGATTTGCCCCTTATGGTAGTATTGATGCCAAGGAAACCATTCTGAAGTTAAGGGTTTTCCAAAATACTGCGATAAAACTTGCTCGACTTAATAACTTAAACCGGAATGTTCTGTTCACTTTCCGCATGTGACTAGCGTTACAGGCGTGGCTATGTGTCACTCGTAAATTTATCTCAGAATTTCAGCACCGCAGGCAAACCATATCAAGGAAACATAAGACTGTGTGTCTGAAACAGGTTGTCCTAAACACACGTAAATCGGCTCGTTGCTGACTCTCTCTTCTGCAAGTATTTCGCACACCTTTGAGTGTCATGTGAGCTGCCTTCAACTTAGAATACACTACAAAGCGGATCATTTTCCTTTCTGTGCCTTTAGGATTAGTAGCCTTTAGCACGACTTCAGCCAATTTGATTGTAACTTCAGAGAATCTGCGAGAAACGATCTGCGGGCAGGTTCCATGCTTTCTTACGTGCTTTATCACCGCAATTTTTCAAAGAGCGGGAGTCATTCTGTCGTAAACATGTCAAATGTCATAAATTAAGAAGATTAAATCTGTCAGTTCATGAACTTCAACTAAGAAGATTAGAAGAGCTGTAGGGTCAGCAGATTCAGGTTAAAAACAAGTCTTTTTTACTTTTATGAAATCATCATTCTATGAAGCTAGAGTGATAACAAAGTTGTATGCTGAGCGACAGCGCTTGACTCTTCGAACTTGTTATAGCCACGTATGAGAAAGGTTATGGCCCGTAGTAAAGCTGCTTCATTCGATCTCAGCTGAATAAAATTTCAGTTGAGGCTTCGACGAGTCAGCTTGCCTTCAGTCGAGCCATCTTATACATAAAGCTGAATGTCTGTTTGTATGTCTGTATGTCTGTATGTCTGTATGTATGTCTGTCTGTCTGAACGTATGTTCCGAATAGAAAATTCCATTTCTCAACCGATCCGAACCAAACTTGGCACACATACACTTCGGGCCCCGGCGGGTGTCACAGTCCACTTTTCGTTATCGATTGATGCCGATTTTATCGATTTTTTGCAAAATTTGAGCTAGGGGGCTGGGATTTGGCACAGGGGGGTAAGTGAGCATGGGGATTCCGAATACAATATTAGTTTTTAAAATCGTGCATTACTTTTATCGATTTTATCGATTTTTTTGCAAAGTTTGAGCTACGGGGCTGGGATTTGGCACAGGGGGGTAATCGAGCATGCTGATCACCCCCGTGGGGGTGATCAGCATGCTCGATTACACCCCCTACCAAATTCCAGCCCCCTAGCTAAAATTTTGCAAAAAAATCGATAAAATCGATAAAAGTAATGCACGGTTTCGAAAACTAATATTGTATTCGTAATCAGCATGCACGATTACCCCCCTGTGCCAAATCCCAGCCCCCTAGCTCAAATTTTGCAAAAAATCGATAAAATCGGCATCAATCGATAACGAAAAGTGGACTGTGACACCCGCCGGGGCCCGAAGTGTATGTGTGCCAAGTTTGGTTCGGATCGGTTGAGAAATGGAATTTTCTATTCGGAACATACGGCGGAGCCGGGTATGCCAGCTAGTTGATTGATATTGCCAACCACCCACGATGATAAGATTAAGAGCTGCACGTCCATGCAAGTATACGAGTCAAGACGAGTTTGCCAAACGTTCGCATTTACATCATTGGCACTAGCGGCGGGGATGTGGCCGCACTTGTTAGATATTGTTAAGTCTCGTCAGCATCACTGTGCTCCTCACCGACATGTTAAACTGACGTGTATCGTAAGTTACTCAGGAGTAACTTACGAGAAGTTTCTCTGCGTACCATCATTGACACACTATTCAAATCATTTGGTAGTCTAACTAAATGTGGTCTGACTGAAGTAAGGTAGACTACCTCGTCAGGTAGACGGACGGTCAGCTGAAATTTCACCTTGCATTCCTACAACATGGGAAGCTGGTGATAGGCAGTCTACCTTACCGAAACCTGGATGAGGGCCTCAGTTCAGTTCACCTGAACTGAATTAGCTTTACTACGGGCCTATATGTATCAGTTCAATCACTTGCTTGTTAGGCTTATGCAAGACGTATAAACTTAGAGTGTCCCGTCAATTTATAGTCGTCCTCACCCCACTAGTCGGTCTGTGGTCGAATTTGAATTCAAACTGGTGCAGGCCCGCCGCAACAGAGCGCGGCAGACCGCCCCTCAGCCAACCGCTTGCACATGAGCTTTTCTCTTATTTTCTTCGTGCTTCTTTGCTATCTCTCGTATTGCGGCGATGTTCTTAATCAGATTCAGATTTCGTACCGCTAACTATTGCTTTGTGCAGTTGTGCTCGTTTGTTTTACATTTTTTCCAGGTGAACCGGGAAGAAGAATGTTGCTGGAGATTTTTGAATGGGAAATCTTTCCCGGTAAGTGACATATACAAATGTGATTTGATGAACTGTGTCAACTTTTTCATTAGAATGTGTATTCTAAACTACGATAAGGCTGAAATTTTTAAGATAGGGCTGAAATTTCTCTCAAAAAATGTTCGTTTCAAAGAGTTAGCGGTATGAAATCTGAAAATCTATTAAGAACATCGCCGCAATACGAGAGATAGCAAAGAAACACGAAGAAAATGATAAAAAAGCTCGCGCAAGCGGTTGGCTGAGGGGCGGCGTCTGCCGCGTTCTGCCGCGGTCGGCCTGCCCCAGTTCGAATTCAAATTCAACCACCGACCAACTAGTGGAGTGAGGACGACTATATCAGTATAAAATCACTTAGCTGGCTGAGTTTCAGACCATTTAGCTAGTCTAAAGCATTGCTTCTAATGAAACTCTAGGCTCTCTGTGTACTGGTCTAGTAGTATGCCCAGGATTTGATCTGATCGATGAGGACACGGGTTTGAGTACAAGGTGCTTTATTGAAATCGCACAAAGTAACATCAACAAGAACTCCAGCAAAACTTCAACAATTGATCACGGGGCTTCAACCCGACTTGCATCTCTCCCCAGTTCTAAGCTTTCTCTATCCAAGGAGTCCGCCTCTCTTCTACGGCTCGTTCAACTACCGAAAGCGTTCGCTACGGCTCTGTTCCTCCTGTCCAGCAGTATTCATACCCTGCTGTGAGATCAATTCTTTCTTTTCCGTCATTAAAAAAAAGGAAATCAGCGATCTTCCCTATCTAGCATCTGCCTTATGAAGTCAGCCTTTGGTGCCAGGTGCTGGCGCTTAAACATAAATGTCATTAAAAAATCAATTTTATTGTTAGAAACTGGGTGACAATGTTTTCAGGCAAACAAATTTCTTCAAACTAGTTGGCCTTACACATTCAAAATTGGTTCAACTTTATTACAGAACAATAGAAATCTTTCGCAAAAAATATTCCAGTCTTCAGAAGAAACATTCTCAAATGTGGCTAACACTGCGAATGAGACTCGCTATAGCTTTCACCAAAGTGATTGGTGACCTTTCAGCTTTTCCAAACCACAAAACAAATCAAAGCGCTAGAGAATTAGACCGCTCATTTACGAGCAGCAGTGGTATATCTCAAGAGTCCTTACTTTTACGTATATAGATAGTAAAGGCGCGCTCTGTATATAGCAAAATGATCAAGTTGGCGATGACGTCTCGTAACCTTTTTCATGATTTTCTCTTTTGTGATGAGATTGCGAGTTAAGAATACAGCCATTACCTGCCACCACCCGCGGGGTTACGGTAAGTGAAGGAGCGATTGAGTAAGGACAAATTACGAATTGTCATCAATTCGGATGAAACCTGATTTAAGGAGTTTGTTCGATGCATTTCAGGAAAA